CTCCTCTTGTCCCTCCCTTCTCTCTCAAGCCTCGATGTCTCTTATTTACTCTCTCTCCCTGGCAGCCCCGCCTAGCCTTTCTCCTGACTAGCTATCGGCTCTTTATTAAACCATTCCAGGTGCCTTAGGCAGGCAAGGTGGAACAGCAACAGCTGCAGCACATCTTTAGAAAATTAAACAAACACAGCAGAAACAAAGGTAACACACTTTACACAGTTAAAGCCATAGTCTGCAACAGAAACAAATGCCACACACCTGTGCCTCATTAAAATCTTCCACATTAGGGTTGACTCAGGCCTTTGCTGCCAAGCCTGAACAGCCTGAGTTTGACCTGGGGAGCCCACAGGGTGGAAGTAGAGAACCAACACCCAGAAGGTGTCCTCTAAACTCCACATGCGTGTCACAGCTTGTGTAAGCTCACACATGCCCATGTGCATAGACTCACAATAAAAAAATGGGGAAAAGCCCACAGTTCTTTCTAGAGTTACAAAAGTGATTTTAAAAAAATGGTCATGCGGAATACAAAACACATAGAACTCAGAAGATTTGGGTCCCTGTGGGAAACTGCCCTTGGCAGTGGGAGAGTAGACAGCCCTTAGGGACCCTCTCCAAGAACACATATCATGCAGAGGTTCGGGATCTTAGAGGCGATGCCTGGCCTGGCACGAACTGAGATCTCTCTCCCCGTGACTGCCCCCACACCCTGTCACTCACCACCCTGGGAGCTGAGCTTACCTGGGCTCTCTGGACTCTGAGGCCTGGCAGCAGCACAGTGTAGAGCGCGGCCCCAGGTGTGACTGTCTCTGGCACATAGATGAATTCCCCAGCTGTCCAGAGAGGAAGTCAGGGAGGTTCTGCCAGGCCATGCCTTCCCTCTCCCCTGCCACCCCGAGCCTCACCTGGGCTGGCAAATGGACCAGCACACCGGATACGACCAGAGTCCCGCAGCACATGAACAAAGAGTGGTCCCGCCAACACAGAGTTACCACATGTGAACTGCAACTGAAGTTCATAGCGGTTCACTGCAAGGGCATCCAGCCGAGCAGAGGGGCTCAAGGTCACCTGTGGTGGGGTGGCAACAACATGCAGGGCCAAGGCGCTCTGTCTCTGGACACACCTTCTGCCTTTGGCCCTCACAATCCCTAGTGGTACCCATGACCTTACCTTTCCCAGGTAGATTTCCTTATCACTCCTGTGCAGGCTGGGTTTGTTGAAGAAGCTGGTGGGGGGTTTCACACTGAGTAACTCTAAGGTGGCCATGTAGGAGGAACAGTTGAAGGGCAAAGATGGAAGGGCAGTGCCAGGACCTTGGCTCTCAGAGATATCTATGGACCAGGGCAGGCTGTGGAGGACTAAGAGAAAGCCACATACAGAAACATAGCAATACCTTTTTCTTCAGGCCATGACCACATCTTGAGGTCAAGCAACCAAAGTCCTTCCTGCCTCCCACATCTGACGTTTTACAGGTAGGGAGAGAGAGAACTTGAAGAAACAGTCAAGATAAGGAACAAGGGTCAGGGGTCCCTCGGCCTCTGACCCCCCCCCCATTAGCTTATCTAAAGATCAGAAATTCACTGGGAAACTGGAGTCCCCCCACCCATCCACCTGCTCCTCACCAGAGGTAAGTAAAGCAAAAAGAAGCGCCAGGAGCCTGACCAGCACCATGGTAGCCTAAAGAAATGGCAGAGGGAGCTGTTTGTCAAGCTAACTCTGTTGCCAGGTTAGTTGCTTAAACATAGCTGAACATAGCTGTCAGGCGGGCTTCCCAGAGTGCAGCTCCTCCTCCCTCCCGGCAGACAGAGCTTTGGACCCCTGGCAGGCTCCAGGAGGGGCTGGAAAATCCCATCTTCCGCTGTTTCCAGTGAATTCTTCCATTCATTACCCCAACCCTAAGGGGATACAAGGGTGGGAGGGTCAGCTACAGATGGTGAAACTGGTCACATTGTCCTTGGAGACGGAGCAAGTACAGTGCCCAGGAAAATTAGCCCCAAGACCAGCCACCCCCCCCCCAGTGTCTGCATTCCTGCTGCCCCCTCCCACCATCACAACTCAATCTGCCTGTAAAACCTAAGCTCAGCCACCAAGAAAACCTCCCAAAAGTCGTCTACTTCAACAAACAGAAGGATCCTTTGTAGATGAAATAAAAGTAATAATGGTTACAGCCAGGCAAGGTAGCACACACCTTTAACCCCAGCAAGCAAATCTCTGTGAGATCGAGGCCAGCCTGGTGTACAGAGTGAGGTCCAGGACAGCCAAGGCTACACAAAGAAACCCTGTCATGAGGGAAAAGTTACTTGTGGAGCTTTCAGCTGGAGGGGACAAAGGGCTGCTTCTGAGAGGGCCTGAAGATGTGCTATGTACTGATCTGCAAAGGCAACTGCTCAAAGCTTGGCAGTTTAAGATTTACTGAGCCAGTATCTTTGAGATTTGTCAGTTTATTATCGTATTATAAAAAAAACTTTTTGAGAGAAGGTTTCTCTGTGTAGTCCAGAGTGGTCTCAAATTAATTCTTCTCCTGCCCTCCCACTTCTTGTGCAGGAATTACAGGTCTTCACCAACATTTAGCATTTTTTCAACTTTTCTCCTCCTGCTCTCTCTAGACTTTTTCTAGATTTTCTTTATTCTAGCCACATGAGTAGGCTCGTCCCTCTCTCCGCAAAACTGTCGTTGGCAGGAACCTCAATGACCACTAATATTCTTTTACCAATTTAATTTTTTAGTACTTCTTTACCTTAGTTTTTATTTTTTGGGTTTCTTTTTTAAAGATTTATTTATTAATTATGTGTACAGGGGTCTTCCTCCATGTATTCGTGCAGGTCCAGATGGTTGTGAGCCACCATGTGGTTGCTGGGAATTGAACTCAGGACCTCTGGAAGAGCAATTAGTGGTCTTAACCTCTGAGTCATCTCTCCAGCCCCCCCCCCTTTTTTTCCAAGGCAGGATTTCTCTGTAGCTTTGAAGCCTGTCCTGGAACTCATTCTGTAGATCAGGCTGACCTCGAACTCACAGAAATCTGCCTGTCTCTGCCTCCCAGAGATTAAAGGTGTGAGTCACCACCACCTGGCTTAATTACTTTTATTTTCTATGAGAGGGCTTTGCCAGCATATATTGTGTGTATCATATGCATGCCTTGGCTCACAAAGGTCAGAAGAGGGTGTCAGATATCCTGGAATCAGAGCTACAGACGGTTTTGAGGCACCATATGGTGGCTGAGAATCAAAACCAAGTCCTCTGAAAGGGCAGCAAATATTCTTAAGGCTTGAGCTATTTCTCCAGTCTCATTATTTTGTTAATTTTGATTATTATTTGTGTGTGTGAGTGAGTGAGTGATGTATGGGCAAACACCACACACTTATGTGGAGGTCAGAGGACCATTTCAGGAGTCAGCTTTCTCTTACTCTGGGATCCAGGGTCTTAGGGCTTTTTTATCCAATAAGTCATCCCACCAGCTCTATTCTGAGACAGGGCTTCATTATGTTGCCCAGACTACTTCTGCCTCTGCCTCCCAAGTAGTTGAGACTGTAGGCACATGCCACTGCACACTCTGAAGCCAGAAGTTTATTCTTCTGTGTGTATGTGGAGGTGTGTGTTTGGACTGGTAGGCATGTGGAGGCCCGCGGTCAGCCTCGGATGTCATTGCTCAGGAGCTGTTCACCTTGGTTTGTTGCTTGATACAGAATCTCTCCCTGGAGATCATCAACCGGGCTAGGCTGCCTGCCAATCAGCGATCAGCCTGCGTCTGCTGCTCACACTGCGGTTACAAACCCTTGTGGCCACACGTGGCTTTTTCACATGGGTCCTGAGTAGCCTCGGGGTTTCATCCTTGTATGGCAAGCACCTCACTGATTGAACTGTTTCAACCCCAACCCCAGACATCTGTCCCTCACCCTCACTCCTCCAAAGGGCTTGATGCTTGCTCCCTTGGGCTCTAAACACGCATGCTCTTGCACATTGCGCGCACTTCTCTACTCTTGTCCAGTTTTGCGGCTGTGGCTTCGCCTTTCTTACCTCCATCCAACGAAATATTTCAGGGCACGAAAACTGCTCACCACTCCCCTCCTTTACACTCATCACCTCCACCTCCGGCAAGGCCGTGGCCTAAAGTACCACCCCTGGCGTTTACCTCCCACTGTAATCCTCCGATGTCCCTCTCTTGTGGAACTCCACAGTCCTACACCTAGCTGCTGACCCTGCATTTCCTCAAGGCTCACATGTCCAGTGATCATTTGCTTTTCTCCTAGTCTTTAAGACTGTTTTTTTTTTAAAGATTTTTTTTTGAAGATTTATTTTATTTTTTTTATTTTTCAAGACAAGTTGTACCAGGCTTTTTCTTTTGGGCCACCAACCAGCTCCCAATGATGTGAAAATTTATTATCAATTAGGAATGCTTGGTTCTAGCACTTATTTTAATCTGTTTCTCTTTATCTATGTTTTGCCTTGGGGATTTTTATCTTTCTTTTTTTTAATTTATTTATTTATTATGTATACAACATTCTGCCTCCGTGTATGCCAGCACACCAGAGTAGGGGCGCCAGATCTCAGTACAGATGGTTGTGAGCCACCATGTGATTGCTGGGAATTGAACTCAGGACCTCTGGAAGAACAGTCAGTGCTCTTAATCTCTGAGCCATCTCTCCAGCCCTTATCTTTCTTTTTTTGTATATCTATTCTGTGTCTGTCTGTCTGGTGGCCGCTTAGCTTCTGGCCCTGGACATGTCCCTCTTTTTCTTCCTCCTTTTCTTCTTTTTCTAGCCTGGATTCTCTTCCTACTCAGTCTCTCTACCAGCCAGCCCCATCTATCCCTCTCCTGCCTAGCTGCTGGCCCTTCAGCTTTTTAGTAGACCAATTAGGCAGGCAAGGTGAAACAAATATAACACATCTTTACATCGTTAACAAAGGCAGCATAAACAGATGGAGCACTTCTTTACACAGTTAAATATTCCACAAGTCTCTCTTTCCTTTTAAATTATTTATTTGTGATGTGCATGGGTGTTTTGCCTGCATGTATGTCTGTGAAGCATGTGCTTACAAGGACTGTAGAATCCAGAAGAAGGCATCAAACGTTATGGAACTAGAATTATAGACAGTTGTGAGTCCCGTAGCTGGGGGATTTATGTGAGATATTTACATTATAATTCATAACAGTAGCAACATTACAGTTACAGCCAGGTGTAGTGGCATATGCTTTTAAATTCCAGCACTTGGGAAGCAGAGGCAAGAAGATCCCTGAGTTTGAGGCCAGCCTGGTCTACATAGTGAATTCTAGGACAGCCAGGACTACACAGAGAAACCCTGTCTCAAAAAACAAAACAAAAGAAAAATTACAGATATGAAGTAGCAGCAAAATAATTTTATGGTTGGGGGTCAGCACAACATGAGGAACTGTATGTATTAAAGGGTTGCAGCTTTAGGAAGGCTGAGGACCACCCCTCTAGAACGCTGCTCCTGTTTACCTTCTGGGCCCAGAACTAGGCTTGCATACACACACCCTTGCCTGGGATAAAGCATAGAGCCTCAGTTCTGATTACAGTGTCATTCCCCTAAACAATGTGTCTCATAGGAACCAGCACTGGTCATTCCCTGAAAAAAGTTCAGTGCTCCTTGTGGCACCAAAAATAAAACGCAGAGTTCCCCCTAAGGCTGCCGAAGCTTGGTTTGGATGACTTCTCCCCTTAATCCACAGACTCCTGCCCCACCCGTCACAAACGTCTGATGCATATCGATGTCTGCCTCATCTTTTTGTTGTCGTTGTTTTTCGAGACAGAGTTTCTTTGTGTAACTGTCCTGGCTTACCTGGAGCTCACTTTGTAGACCGGGCTGGCCTGGAACTCACAGAGATCCGCTTGCCTCTAACTCCGAAGTGCTGGAATTGAGGGCATGTGCCACCACCACCCAGCTCAGCCACATCTTTGAGTCCTATCTATCCCTCAATTGAACTTCTTGCTCTCGTTCTCCTATATTTTCCTGTCTATTGATAGATCCAGTCGGCCTCGATAGACTCTACCTTTGATTATGGAGTGGCCTCAGGGAAAAGGCTCTGAATATTCTGGCCATAGGCTAGTTTTCCTTTTCCATTCCTTCATGCGATTGATGATACTGGGGAGTGGGAATGTAGACCATAGCCCCGCGATCCCCACTAGAGGGCGGTCCAGCCTACTTCGGCTCAGACCGGGCTAGAGGGATGCCGGAGGGAATTTAGCAGTGGCCCTTCCCTTAAGGTTCTTCGTAGAGCAGAGTAGTCACCGTACTACTCTGTGAATCTCAGTACTACCATTTCCAGGGATTGTCAAGGCCAGCTTTGACAGACCCTGAGTGGCCACAATATCGTCAGATCAGACGACCGGGCGCAGTGCCCACACGTGGGCGTCGCATCGCGGCCCCAGTATTAGAGACCGCTACTTCACCAGGGGACAAATTGAAAAGCTGAGACCACTAGACGAACGCGTGGGGGGCGGGAGGAGGTCGTGTCTGTCCTGCGTCTCTCTAAACCAGGGGGTCCTGAGCTGCTTTTGGCCGTGCGGGGTTGGAAGGCGGAGCTGAAAGGGGTAGGACATCTTCAGTCCGCCCCGCCTCCATTGGCTAGGGCGCTGGGGGCGGGGCAGGGCGCAGCTGCCAGATGTTGGGGCGGTAGCGGCGGGAGCTACGGAGAGCGAGGAGCCTGGGAGTAAGGCAAGGGTGACGACGCCGCTGGCGGGCCGACCCGGCCCACTCTGCGCTGCTCCCGCGGGTGATCGAGAAGGAGCCGAATGACCTGGAGAGGGCTACAGCACCAGCACCAACATGCACAGCGCTCGCCTTGACAGCTTCCTGAGCCAGCTCCGCTGGGAACTGGTGAGGCTTTGGAGTGGGTGTGGTGGTAAGGATGTGTGTGGGGTGCGTGACTGCCGCCTGGCTGGAACAACAAACGGGTACGGAGTGGGCTCCGGGTGCCCATCCGAGTCAGGATGGGGGCAGGGCAGAGCGGTGCAGATGGCCCAGATGGCCCGCTTCGGGTTTCTGACGGTTGGGAGCTGTTCTGGGCATCAGGTAACAGGCGCCCAGCTGGCTCTGCCGGCGGCGGGGGAGGATAGTTGGGAGCGAGGTTTCTTTTGGGGACCTGCAGGGAATACCAAGGGCCTAAAGAAGTACTGTGCTGTCGTGGACATCCCCTACTACGGGCTGGCCTGTACCTCCTTCCTCTACCCTGCCTGCCCGCCCTGGTGGCGCGTGCTGACTTGCCCAGCCCTGCGTGCTGCAGCCTGCAGGACTGCCACCAGCTCTGCGGATCGGAGCCATATGAGCCTCGACTGCCAGTGCCCCCATGTGGGCCCTATGCCTACAGTTCTGCCTTGTTGCCCAGAGGTTTTTCAAGTCCTTGTGAACTTTCTGTTCACGGCTGGCCTAGTCAGACACTAAGCGATGATAAGAAATCCCTCTCCGACTTCTGCTCTCTCTTTCCCTTCAGTTGTGTGGTCGGGACACAGGCTCACCTCCAATGCCTGGCCCACTGCAACCAAAACCCCAAACCGATCCAAGTGTACAGCCCAACCGCCAGTTAAGGGCCTCAGATGCTCTGGAAGAGGACTCTGTCTGCTGTGTGGAAGAGGAAGAGGAAGAGGAAGCCTTGGCAGCGGAAGACAGGGGTGTACCCTTGGTATGTCCTCGGGAACATGCCCTAGACTGGGACTCTGGCTTCTCAGAGGTGTCAGGCAGTACATGGAGAGAGGAAGAGCTGTCGGTACCCCGGCGTCAAGCACCCTCAGAGCGGCCACCTCATAGCCAGCGTTTCTCAGTCAGTGACCTCCCCTTGCGCAGTAGGGCAGCTGTAACTGGTATATCACCTGCCCACCGTCCTCGGCCCAAGTCCACACCAGATGCTTGCCTGGAACATTGGCAGGGATTGGAAGCAGAGGACTGGACGGCAGCCCTGCTGAACAGGGGCCGTAGTCGGCAGCCCCTGGTGCTGGGGGATAACTGTTTTGCTGATTTAGTTCACAATTGGATGGAGCTGCCTGAGGCAGCCAGTGAGGGGAGTGATGGAGGTGTACCCCGAGCCCGTGCTCGACCCCCTCAGTTCCTGCTTGGCCTCTCTGAGCAGCTACGGCGCCGGCTGGCCAGGGCTCGCCGGGCAGCTATGGCAGGAAAGCGGCTATCGTGCCCACCTCGGCCAGAACCTGACCTGCCTGCGGACATCTCACGATTTGCAGCCCTCATGAACTGTCGCAGCCGCCAACCCATCATCTACAATGATGTCAGCTACCTCTGACCTGCCCTCCGCCAGGGACAATAAAGGCCTTTTTCTAGACTGTTGGTTCCTAAACCAATACGAGTGACAAATCTTGACGGTGTACTTGAGCATTATCCCACAGCAAGGAAGCATCCCCAGCCCTGTGGGGCACAGCCAAGACAGGCCAATCTAGACTCTTTCCTCTGCCTTCCGGGGTCCTTGTCTTGCCTCTGTCATACGCATGTCCCTTACATCCATGTTCCATCGCCCATCTTCCCTACTTCCTTCAACAAGTTTTTATTGTTGAGCTGTCTGCTGTAGGCTCAAGATACAGGCCTTGTATGTCTTGTTGGTTATGGCCGAGTGATGGCGTGGTGGCGGCCATCCATGTCACAGCTCATAATGCAGAGGTGGGAAGGCAGTTTCGTCCTCCTCACCCTCACAGCTCAGCTCCAACACCAGGACCCTCCGCCCAGGCTCAGGCTCCCGGCCGGTCACTTGCTGAACCAGTTCTGTCACCCTGGTATGGGAGGGGGTTCAGGGGAGATTTGGTAGGTGAGCTGAGGCAGACAGGGGGCAACCCAGTGTGGACTAGAGGGTGCTGGTGAGCCCTCAGGAGCCTGAACTGGGAGCAGGAGTGGCTCAAGGCAGGAAACATCTGAACTATTTTAGGAGCAGCTGGTGGGGCAGGCAGGAGGCAGGAAGCTGTGGATCCCTTGGAAGTGGGCGGGAGGGGGGGCTGGGCAGTGTATGGGGAGCAAGGGGGGCTAGGCAAGCAGACAGCTACTAAAGTCCCCTTCCTTAGGCTCTTAGCCCCACCCCAAGCCCATTTGTTGGCTCCATTTGGTGGAAGAATGCTTCAAGAAGGTGTGAGGGGCCTAGAATTGGGTTGAGAAAAAGAGGCTGCTACCCATCCTCAACATCCAGGGACATGGTTATGGTCGGGCACTGGCTCACCTGAGACACAGGCACCCAGTCCGCTTTTCCAATAACCATCCTGCAGAATAGAGGACAGCCTGGCCATACAGCAACCTCTTCACCTTCAGTCCGTGTTCTTTCTAGAGAGACAAACATCAGTTACTCAGTGAGCCAGGCTGGGCTGGGCCTGGGGCAGAGGGGAGACAGGGCACACCTGGAGATGGGCCAGCAGTGATGCCAGTGTCCTCTCAGGCTGCCCAGCAGACACCTTCAGGCGGTGCCAACGGGTCCACATCAGGTGATTGAACTATGGGGTGAAGGTGAGGAAGAATTAGATTTCTCGCACAAATCTGCAGCCCCTGGCCCAGTTACTAGCAGCTTTTCTTAGAAGAGAAGCTGCTGAAGAGGCAGGAAGCCGAAGCCAAGGGGGTGTGTGTGGAAGGTGGGATCTGGGCCCAGAGTCTCAGCCCCCTCCCCACCCAGGCTGCGGCCAACACAGGAAATGGAGCTATGGGGCCCTGTACAGGGAAGCAGACATCCATCACACAGGCCAGTTGGAGGCGGGGGTGGGGTGGGTGGCGGAGTGTGTGGGGGTGCTGCTTCCTGAGGAAGCTGGAGCTGGGCTGCTGCAGTCTCCCGATAAAGCTGCTTGTTCCTCAAAGGGGATGCTGGGAGCTGGAGGCTACAGCTCATGCTATTCCCCAGTCCTCACACACAAGGCTCTGTACTGCTCACGGGCACGCGAAAACTAAGGACAACGGTGACAATGGAACCCTACTGACCCAGAGATCCTAGCAGAGACACAGTCTATAGGAGTTTTTATTCTTTCCCATCTTTCTCCTAGTTGGAGAGTTCTGGTGTCTACAGATGAGGACAGATGCAGCAGACACAGAGTCTAATACAAAGGGGCCCTGCTAACCCTTGGAAAGCATACTAGGGTTGAGCTAAGACTATGCTAGAGGCAAGATGGGGACTCCTACCCACCCCCATTCCATGGACAAAGGCGGTCTGTGTGCTGGTTAACAGTGGGGCACCTCACAAAAGCACTCTGTGTGCATGTCCAGAGGGACCCTAGGCTAGCTAGTGACCTCTGTCCTCTCCCCTGGTGAGGGCATTCCTTCTACTTCCTTTCCTGTTCCTCAGGGAAATGCCAACTGTGACAGAGGCTGGGCACAATTGGACACATTACCATCCTGCCTTCATAGGAACACCACACAAACAAAACCAACAACACCCACACATGTGTCCGCATGCACATCCATAAACGCTCACACTGAGGAAGAGCCTTGCTGGCCCATCTGGCACACAGATGTGTAAACTTGATCCCTCCATGCTCACACACCAGGACTGCCCAGACCTTGGTGTACTCTGTAGCGTGAGCATACTGTCCTATAGGGCTGAGAACTTCACTCACGGTAGCAAGCCTGGTGGCCTTTAACTTGGCTTGAGGTGGACAGAACAGGGTTCTACAGAGAGAAGCTAGACTATCCGGGGTTGAGTCTACGGCTGCCCCTCCCTACTCCCTCCCACCAGGATATTATTGAGAAGGAGGGGGTTGTGGGGGGGATGTCTGGCTCCACTAATGAGTTAAAGCTGCAGCTCCCCCAGACCCTGGACTGCAGGGGGTTGGGGGTATGGCTGATGGCTGTTTCCTGTGTCTGAAAGGTCCCAGCCTGGCTTCATAGCAGGAAGGGAGCTGGAGGGAGTCTAGAGGATTCTGCCATAGTCTGGGGCCTGGAGAGAGCCCACAGCTAGAGCCCACACTGTTTATTTGGGTGGGAAAAGGGACGACTCGAGTCTAATGGGAACAAGGGTAGGGTAGCAAGGGCTCACCGACTGGACGGCTGGGGCAGAAGGCACTGCTCGTATGAAGTCATTTTCAGCCAGGTGCAGAGAGCTTTGACGAAAGGAATCAAGGAGCCGTGGCCCACTTACCACCTTATACAGCTCCAGGCCCAATAAGCCTGCCACAACTGCTGTACTGGTGGCAACGGCTGGGATAATCTGGCCCACGGTTTGCTTGATCTGTCAAGGACAGGGCATTTGGTATGGGCTCAAGGTTTAGGACTAAGATTTGGCCCTCCCTTCCAGGCCTAAGCCCCAAAAGGGTGGCGTTACCTGAGCATGGTTGACTGGTAGGATCCCATAGTTCTGAGCTCTCAGGTCAGTTGCTGCTACCACAAAGTCCATATGGAAGTTGCTGTCATCATCCTGCCAGGCCCAAGTCACAGGAGGGTTAGCGCTGCAGCGGTATCCCTGTCACAGCATGTTAGCGCTGCAGCGGTATCCCCCTCACAGGAAGGTTAGCTCTGCAGCGGTATCCATCACAGGAGGGTTAGCGCTGCAGCGGTATCCCTGTCACAGCATGTTAGCGCTGCAGCGGTATCCCTGTCACAGCATGTTAGCGCTGCAGCGGTATCCCTCCCTATGGCCAACTAGATGCCACTGACTGGTCTTTGTACAAATTTTTGGTTGGTATCCACCATCTCCCTCCTTTGCCACACAGTACAACTGAGGTGCAAGGGAAATGGGCTACTTTCGTGGCCTTGGAAGAAGGAAACGCGGATTCTTAGACTACCCCCACTTCCTTACCATCCCCCAGCCCAGTCTGTCATTCCCACTTGGGGTCCCACCTTCCCAAACAGCACAGGTTTCAACGGAGGGCCCTTGCTCCAGTCTTCTAGACGTTCCTGCAGTTCCTTCAGCTGCTCCGGGGCTGTCAGGGAGCAAGGTGTGGGATTAGTCCTTGCTCACTTCCTACACTCTAGAGCCTGTGCTCACTCTAGAGTCTTTGTCTAACCTGCCAGTTGCTGCCGCTTGATCAAATCAAGGATTGATTTGATGCTGCCATCTGCTCCGTCCTCACCTGGGGATCATAGCTAGACATGCTGCAGAACATTTTTTTTCTTTTAAATTCTGAAAGTCTCTCGAGAGAACTGGGATATGTTTTAGGCAGCAAAGAGTGGACCTACTGAGGATGGATATAAACCAAGCAGCAAAGTAAGAGGCCCAGAGGGGGCTGAAGAGATGGCTCAGCAGTTAAGTGCACTTGTTGCTCTTGTAATGGACTCTGGTTCAATTCCCAGCACTTACATGGAAGCTCACAACTGTCTATAACTCCAGTTCTAGGGCTTCAATGCCCTCTTCTGGCTTCTGTGGGCACCAGGCACACATGTGGTACACAGATACACATGTAGGTAAAATACTTATACATATAAAATAAAAATTAAATAAATAACAAAAACTCCCAAAGAAAGCCAGAGGGAGGAAGCAAGCTGGCTATGGGCAGGGGGTAAGCCTTGGATGACTGTATAAGACTAGAACCTCACCAAAGTCAGCCGGAGTAAAGGTACCATCAGAGATGAGGTCTGGGTGCATGGACTCAGGCTTTGGCAGCAGCTCCAACAGTTTCCTGAGTGAAGTCTGGTCTCGTGAGCCAGTAAGCCCATGCATTTGTGCGTACAGGTTGGCAGCTGCCAGCACGTAGAGGAAATGCATGTCCTGAAGCCAGGCAGAGAGCAGGAACAGTTTCATGGGTACATGGGGTGGGTTTCATTTCCCTTTGGTGGGTATGTTTGAATGCCTGGCTGTCTCAAGTACAAGCACCCACATTTGGACAAGGGAGGCTCTCTTTTCGCATCTGCACATCTTAGCAGAATACAAAGGTGGCTACCTCTACTCTAAGGGCACTTATGTCTAAGGATTCCACTCACGTGACTGGGGTCAAATTGCAAGGGCTGTGGACATCTTTTGGATCCTGACCAGAACAGCGTTCCATCCTCGAGCACCTAAGGAAACAGAGGTGGCTGGGCTCAGTCTGGTCTCCTGGAGCCATCAGTTGCCCAGCCACTAACTACCTACTTTATCAGATGGGAAGAGTCTCAGCAGCTCCACGATGCCATCATGGAAGCATAGTTGCCAGTGGCCTAGAGCCCACACCACACAGTCTTGCCAAGTCCGTGGGCGCATTTTTAGGACACCCATCACTTGCTGCAGTATGGTTGGTGTTTGTGTCCTCTCTATGCCCGACAGGGAAGTGCATGCCCTACCGAGAGAGGAGGAAGTTTGAGATTGAACTCTGTGCCTGAATACCTAGACTCCAACCTACCTTCTGTTGTTCATCTTACTGTGGATAGCCGTTGATAGTCTCTGCAGATAGTCTGAAGAGTCCCTCAAATTCATCCCGGGCCCACTGTGGGGGAGGGGAGGATATAAGGTATTAGATGAAGAACTGCTTTGCCGTTTGAGAATTGAGATGGGTAGGGTGGGATACACTTACCTGCAGGACGTGCTCCACTGTGCTGGGGAAGTACTGCAGAGTACACAGAGGGTAGGAGGCAGTTTCAGAAGCTGCAGCCGAGGCAGGACCATTGTAGGTTTCGGTCACATGCGGCA